CAAAATTAGTGGTGATTGGAAGAGGGGGAGAGCTGGCAAGGTAAAACATGGGGGGGGCGGGGTGCAGCAAGGACAATAAAGGAGAAAATTAATTTCATGTTGGAGCAGAAGCAGGAATGGAATGGGGATAAAAAGGGCAAGAGCACTGAGAAAGCTGAGATGAGTAGGCAGGGTCACTAGTAAAGTGAAGAAAGAAAAAAAGAATGAGAACACAGGGTCAAAGCCTCTATGGTTCAATATAAAGTCTCAGGAGCCATATAAATATTAGGGGAAGCAAGTAGCAAATAAACTGGTTAGGAGAGAAAGAAAAGGAAAAGGTTGGTCAAAAATCTTGAAAGACTACAAATAACATGCATAATGCAAAAACTTAAGTATGACAGAAGTATATTGCCTAAATATTTAATGATGTTAAAAGGTATGTTTCTGACATGTTTTAGCTCTTTCATTCAATAAAACTACCACATTTAAAAACAAGCTAAACAACATAGTTTAGACATGCATAAACAATACAACTACGAAGGAAGGGAAGGGTTAATACAGACCTCAGGCTAGAAGCAGCCTGGGAGAGAAGGGGAGCTACCTGATAGGATTTGTATTTCTTTAGCATGGGTGTTTGATGTAGTGCTATTCTTCAAAACTATTAAATTATGAATACATATCTAAAATATTCATATTTCATAAAGAAACTAATGGAATTCTTCTACCTCTGAATTCCCCAGTTTTTCTTTTTTAAAAATTATTTAGGGAGAGAGGGAGGGAGGGCGGAGGGGGAGAGAGAGAGAGAAATATCAATTTGTTGTTCCACTTATTTATGCATTCATTGGTTGATTCCTGTCCGTGCCCTGACCAGAGATTGAACCCGCAACCTTAGCATGTCCAGACGCAACCAGGGGAGCAATGAGCAGTGACAGCTCATCCTGGGCTAACCCCCTAAACCTTTCCCAAGGCCCCCGTTTTCTCTGACTCTCGAGTGAGCTGACAGCACCGTGGCTCTCCTTTCCAACAACTTTTCTAGAGAGCCAAAGCAGCCCCACCTAGTCCTCTCCTGTTGCTTCTTCTATCCTAGGCCCTTCCTTGTTTCACTGTCCCCAGCTTTAATAAACATACTCTCAAAATTAAAAACAAATAAAATCACACAAAAAAACCTCTTCTGTGAAAGAGGGATTCCTGAAAAGGAAAATGAGCATGGTAGTTTCACTTGTGTCCTCATTTTATCTCACTACTGAGAGTAGGAAAAGCTAATGGCTGTTTTACAGGCAAAGGAAAGTGAGAAACAGGCAAAGCAGTGATTTCCTTCATTCTAAGATGTGTATTTTTCACACTACGACTTTAAAAAAAATCAAGATGGATCTCACACTACTAATTTAATATCATCTTCTGTGGGGAGGGCCACATCTTACAACTATGAGTATACTTTGAATTAAGGAAGTATGGTAAAGCATTTCCACCAAAGTCAACAGTAAGAAAGTGGCAGAATCAGGCTAAAAAAATTCTGCTGTGAAGTTATTAATGTATATTAATAGGAACACAGTGGCCTGTTTGGCTATTCTTTCATTAATTTAATTAAATGTATAGGGTCTACCTTCTACTAAGCTCTTACTGAAATACAGAACCATACAAAACAAGTAGAACATAATCAAATATAGATGCCTACAGAGTATCTATAAAACATTCTGGGATTAATATCAGAAAGATGAATGACATCTCAACCTTTCGTCTAAGATCATATATTAAACTGATAGAACAGCTATCTACACTTGAGGACAATATATTAAATAGACTTTTGCAGCAGGGAGATGGGATAGGAGCTTCTTCCACTCCAGGCATCAACCCAGTATCGGCAGTACTTCTGGAAAGGTGCACCCCGAGGGAGTGTGTGGGGGGGAGTATTAGGAAGATGATACAAAGTGAGATACATCCAGATAAAGAGTAGTCACTTTCAGCCAGCATACTAGGAAAAGTCTGACATATCAAAAGAGCTTAATATACGTTGACCCTGAGAGCATTATGGAAGACCAAAGTTAGGATTTGAAAGACTAATAGAATTTCCATAGAGAAGGCACTCCGAGCAGATGGAGCAACAGGGATCAGAAAAAAAGCCACTGGGCCACCGGCAGAAGCAAGGCAGGGAATAATGTTAACAAGGCTAAAATATGGAGTTCCTTCAAGGTCAAACAAAACAATGTGGGCAGAGGAATAGTCTCCTAACAGCCATGTTTCAGGACGATTAATCTGACTGTAAACTATACAGGCTGAACTTGTGTGGGGAGAAAGTACTGAAGTCTAGAGTCCATTGTCAAATATTCAGTGCCTGACCTAGGTAACAACAGCAATAGCAAGAAAGGGGGCTGTGTTTGAATGAGAACAAAATCCAAAGAGAACAGCACCAACATGTTAACATTTGCAGCCCCAGTACTCCCAACACACCGCCCTTCCCATAGTAGATGCTCAATAAATAAGCAGAGAGAAGGCAAGTTGCAAAGGCTAATTTGAATCCTCACTACTGCTAAATGTCCACAATCACTTTTCTCTCTACTTTTCAAAACCATTCATATCACAGAGAAGGTGAAGTCCCTCTCCAGTCTTGGTTTTACAGTCTAAATCAAAATTTGCCAGTAGGCTTTAGAACCTCATTTCCTTTTCCTTCCTTTTCCTAAAAATGCCACAGCATTTTTAAAAGTATATAAGTTTGCTATTAAACATTTGCAAACCACGGCTTTACCTGGGATTTTCTGTAGGAAATCATCCAATTTCCACACAGACTCACACCAAAAAAGCCGAGCTGAAAAATCACATTATGGCAGAAAGTTTTTCTTTTAGGCAGCAATCAACATGCTTCTAGCGTTACTTACTGAATCTGCTACATCACTAGTGCAATCACAAGCTGCATCTTACATTTCCAAAGTTGTGTAAAGCGTCCAAAATTGTGCAAGAGTCATCAGTGAAATCAGACTCTGGTATATTAATAGTTATAACACCTGAGGAAGCCTGTTTTATTATTAGATTCCAAATAATACCAAAATCATAGGTATTAAGAAATATTTTACACGTTTGCTTACTTATCAGTGAAATATACTCCGATGTTATTTTAAGTGAGAATAACTGAATTTCTTTCTGCTTCAGACAAACATCAGGTCACTTGAAAATCGGCGGTTGTGACCCAGATATGATATACTGAAAAAAATCAGTGTCGCCAACACACACATACACACACACACCCAGAGCACTGAAGGCCTTGCATTACTATCAAATAACCCCAGTTTACACGTGGCAAAAGTCTATAGAACTATTTCACGTTTTAATGACCTCGAAAGGGATTCCTCAGCCGTCAAGTAATGGGACATGATTTATTATGACTCGGAAATTGAAGGTGTTAGAAAAGAAAAACAATAGTTTTTTATATTTGTGGACCCTGAAAAAAAAAAAAAAACACCATTTTTTTTTAAAGGTCCTCTCTCCCCCTCAGCTGGCTGTCCCACACCAGGCAGCGCTTTGCCCAGGCCTAGGCAGATGCATGTAGGTCAGAGAAGGTGGGACTGTTTAGGAATCCCAAGACCTTCCTCCCATCCATCACCTTCTGCTCTCCTGGGCCTCCCCCTTTTCTTTCTCGAGGGCGGCGAAGAGGCCCCAAAGTGAGAAGCCCCGGCGAGGGATTGCAATCCTGTGAGCCGGGCCCTGCCGGCCCTGGGCTGCACGCCCCTCCGGTCCCACACTTCCCAGACCCAGCACCGTAATCGGCCGCCGCGGCCCCAGCTGCAGGGCCAGCCGGGCGGCCAGGCCGCGGCCGCTCGCAGTGCCCACGTCACCAGCTCTTGCACT